AAGTTCTTATTGCAATTATATAGATTAATTAACCTTTGTACCAGTTGCCTTTTTGTACCAGTTTTGCCTCTTTGTACCAGTTTTATCTAACATACTGTTATTAATTAAAGGCAATGGCACTACTGAGTAAAACACTTTTCATATTGCAAATATTCTTTTTTTTTTTAGAAACCCTTTTTCTATAGCAAAAATTGTTTCTTATATTTGACAAGCTCAGTCAATATTTTTTTATGTAAAAATATTATTTTGAAGTTGAAAAAGATTTTTGATTCATTCATTTGACTGAGCAAGCCAGCTGATTTATGTAATAATATATAAAGTATTTATGAAAATAAAATATAAAGTATGCATATATTAAAAGATAATAACTTCTATTTTTATCAGGTATATTAAATTTTTCTATATAATAATAATAAAACAATTTTAAAATTAATTAATAATTTAAAAAAATATTACTTATAGTAACTTATATTAGAATTAACTACTTCTAATTAAAAACAATACAAAAGTATGCCATTAAACTTTTGAATTGTTTTTAATTTTGGTTGACAAAATAAATAATTATTATAGGAATCCCAAACCTCCAAGACATGTTGTGTTCATATTAAAGAGAATAATAATAAAAAATGTTTGGGCTGAATTTTTTTAATTAAAACAAAAGAATAAATGCATACCAAGAAAAACTCACTTTTTTATTTTAGTGGAAGCTTGCCTTCTCTGTTTTGTTTTAGGCCAAATAGTCCACATAATACAGGGTTTCCACTTCTCCTTAAAAACCTTAAATATCCTTAAAAAAAAACTCTCGTTAAAAGTTCTTTGACACGTTCACGTCGGCGTGTACCACTGGTGGTACACCGGCGTGAACGTGTTAATAACCTTAAAAAAAGATAAAATTTGACTGCTCTCCTTAATTTCTCCTTATTTTTTTTTTTTATTTTTTAATCATCTAGGAAATTTTATTAAAGTGAAGGATTATACTTATTAACAAAGAAAAAAATATATAGTTCTTTGAAAGTTTGCAAAGCTATATTTCTATTATATATATTTATATATATATGTAAAGAAATATATTAATTTATAATATTTTTTGCTCTTTATATTTAAAGTTTTTTGAAAAAAATAAGATTCCATTTCTAATGTTTTCTCCTTAATTCTCCTTTTAAAATTTTTTCTTTTTCTTTTAAAAAAGTGTTGTTCGTAACCAAATCTCCTTAAATATTAGGTAAATATCTCCTTAAAATCCTTACTTTTAGCCTCAGTTTTAATAGTGGGAACCCTGTAATATACGTTGCAAGCTACAGAGTTGATAATTTATTCAAGCGCATTTTATTCCTAAGAATTTTAGTATATGACATCATTGATTTTTTTGTTTGTATGTAATCAATATTTTACAAGCTTTGACTTAAATAAAAAATTTAGTTTTTTTGGGTATGCGTTTATTCTTTTGTTTTAGTCAAAAAAATTTAAAACATTTTTTAAAAATATTTTCTTTAATATGAACATGTCTCGTAGGTTTGGAATCCCTTTAATAAATTTAAAACTTTCAATTTTTTACAACCAAAATTTGATTGACTTTGTAATTTGCATAATTCATTTTATTAAATTCTAAATCAAAATAAAACTAATGCAGATCAAGTGGTTTTTATTTAAAAAAAAGACTTATTTTTTACATTATTTTTTTGCATTAATTGTGATGCCTAATTTAGATATTTTTACCAAGTGATCCTCAATATACCTGGCTTCTTGCAAAGATGTACTTTAACAATGCTGATTGCTCTCTGCATCAATCCTGCACTCATTTAGGTAAATCTTTCTAATTTAAAAGTGTGCAAAGTATATACTCAGACTATACAGTATTGCAGTGAACATATATATATATATATATATATATATATATATATATATATATATATATATATATATATATATATATATATATATATATATATATATATATATATATATATAAAATCAATTAATACGAGTTCTCTCAATACTATTGTTAATATATTTGAAATTTTTGCTGGATTATAGTTACCAGCTTCATCAGCTATAATATTGTAATTAAAAATTACAATTATGACCGTTATAATAAATTACAAAAATTAAACTTTGATGTCAGCGTTAGAACGGCCTCTTTTAAAAATTTAGTTTTAACGTATTGTCCGTTATCTATGTTTATTCCACCATAAATTGGAAAGCATTGATGTTTTTGAATCTCTAATGCTTCACGAACTTTTCTTTAAAATTTGTTATATTTTTCTTTAAGTGTTTAAACCTTATCCCAATTAATTCCTTCTCTCTCTTCTTTTTATGAAGAGCTATAGCCGACTGATAATACTTATCTTCCATTAAACATTTTTGGTGTTGCTGAGATCTTGTTCTAATTTGTAAATTTGTTTCACCAACATACACTTTGGAGAAATTACATTCAATTAAATAAATTCCAGGTTTACTGTTGTCCGGTAGCCTCGATTTGTTTTTTGATGTTAGTAGATTCCTTAAATTATGACTAGATTTAAAAACAGTGCGGTAATCAGCTTTCAGAAATATTTTTCTAAGTTTTGGGTAAAATAATGGTATCCAAGGTAAAGAGATTGTAGAAAGTGCATTTGGATTTGTTGGTATTTGAATTTTGTTTGCATTAGGGATTTCATTCATGTTAGTAGATCTTTTTATTTTAACGTGGTTAGCAATGATTTGAAGCTGACTTTTGTTATAACCATTTTCACTAAATATATTAATTAAAAAATCGATCTCCTCTTTTAGATATGCCTTGCTACTTATGCTGTAAGATCTATGAATATAATCTTTGAATATTGAATTTAAAATTTCCTGATCATGATTTGAATGAGGTTTTATCTGAATATTGGTTATAGCATCTTTCCTATAAACTTTAAAATCGTATTTACCATTAGCATTGTTAATTATGGTGGCATCAAGAAAATTTAGTGTTTTTAATTTATTTTCAGCTTCTATTGTATATTTTGATGATGGATGTTGTTTGTTAAGTATATTTTAGAATTGTTTTGCTTGTTGTAAATTAGGAAATCTAGCATGACTGTCATCTACATATCAAAGAAAAGATTTAGCATCAAGAAAAGGATTTATAGTCTTCACTATTTTCAATGTGTTTTCCTCGTGGTGCTGTAGAAACGACTCAGCAAAAATAACTATAAAAGATAATCCAATAGGGCCTGAGTTTTCTAATTCTTGTATCTTGTTGTTCCACATAAAGTAACAACGAAATAAGCAAAGTTCTATTAGTTGTTTAGTTTTTACTATATCAAGTTTGGTTGAGTTTTTATAGGAAATGTTTTTATTTAATTGATCTAAAAGAATAACGGTTGCTTCTTTTAATGATATTGATGGATATAAATTTACAATATCAAAAGATCCTTGTAACTTGTCCTTATCAATAATCCAGGCCTTAGTTTTGTTGATGAAATCAACAAAACTAAGGCCTATTTTTTTAACCAAGTACTTTGAAATTCCATAGCTAGGTGTGCCTTTTTTTATTACGATATTATAGCTTTTGATGCTGGTAACTATAATCCAGCAAAAATTTCAAATAAATTAACAGTATTATTGAGAGAACTCGTATTAGTTGATGCTTTTATATTTTTAACATATATACTTTCATACAAGATGTCAACATTTAAATCATATATATATATATATATATATATATATATATATATATATATATATATATATATATATATATATATATATATATATATATATATATATATATATATATATATATATATATATATATATATATATGTATATATTTATTTCAAATAAATAACAATTTTTTAAAAACTTTTTGACAACATGTTTCATCAATATCAATTGACATCATCAGATATAAAAAATTAGTTAGAATTTCTGTATATAAACAATTTTTTTGGCTACATTAAAAATTTAATAGTTTTTACAATAGTTACCATAGTTACATTTTATAAGATAAATAGTTACCATGAAATTTAAAAAAAAAGATTATACAAAAGATGTGAAGTAATTAATAATAAACAAAAAAAGGAAATAAAAATTAAGATAATTGAGAAATTATATTGTTATAGTAATAGTGTATGATTTTAATTGTGTATTAAAAAGAGGTTTTTCCATCTTGATATGGATACTTTCCTTAATTTTGAGCTCATACTCGAGGAAGCTCTGTCAATAATGGATAAGCAATCAGGATTTGTTGAATTTTTGCATTTTTGTGATGAGTTGAGATGTTTGTAAATATGGGAAGCATTATCTGAATTTAAGTGTTCTGAAATCCTTGTTGTGTAGCGTCTGGTGGTTTCATCAATGTATCCAGCATTATAGCTGGCACAAACAAATTTATAGACAACAAAGGATTTTAAATTTGAGGGTAAGGGGTCTTTGAGGAAAACATACTACTTATTTTAAAAGGTGTAAAAACTAATCTTGCTTTTATATTATCTTTACAATATATTTTAATATATTTATTTAATTGGTGTTGAAGTGTATTTGAAATTTGTCCAATGAAAGGGAATTTAAAGTAATTTATATCAGATGGTTTTGAAGATGACATGTTTTATTTAGGTGAGATAAGGTTGTTTATAAAATTTTATAGGTTTTGTCAATTAAGTTCAAGAGAAAAGAGTTTTTTGGAGAGTTTGTTTAATTTTTACAACATCTAGATGAAAACTGTTGTTGATTTTGAAGGCCCTGTCAATCAGATTTTTAATGAGTCCTAGTTTATAATTAGTATTAGTGAAGCTGGTAAAATTAGTCAGTAAACCTGTGTCAGTTTTTTTATAAAACGTTGACGTATCAAATTTGTTATTTACAGAGTTAATCATTATATCAAGAAAGTTCAATTTGTGATCAACTTCTCCTCTTTAGTAAATTTGAGATTTGGATGTTGTTTATTTATATATTCTAGAAAAGTGAGTGCATCATCGTTATAAAGATACAAAACATATCATCTACATGCCTTTTGATCTACATACAATCTAATCAAATATTTCATTTTTAAATACGAAATGCGTTTGAATGGTTGAAAATTCTAATTTGGAAGTATTAAGGTTTGGTCTATTTTTAAGATTAAATCCACAGCAATTGAGATGGTTTCATCCAATGGGATATTTGTTGTTTAAAAATATCCCAACTTTCTGCATCAAAGGAGACTAGGTAAGAGTTGGCTACTCTTACTACTTTAAGTTCATTAACAAAGGTGAAGCTATCTTTGGTGCAATGATTCATTTGAATGTATGAAGTAAATTACTTAAAAATTTAGATAATTTGTAGTTGTATGTCTCTAATGAAGAAACTATGGGTCTGAAGGAAGGAATTTAATTATTAGCGTTTAATTTATGCATGTTAGGTTTTCCATAAATCCTAGCAATTGTTGAGCCAGTAGGATAAATAAACAGCATTAAATAGATTTTTATTTTTAATTTTGCAAAGGAATCTTTGCAGTTGGCGTTCTCTGAGTACAGTAGGATCTTTAGGAATCTTTTTGAAGTTTATAGTATCATTAACAATTTCATAAATTCTTTTCTTTTTAAGATACAGATTTTGGTCTAATATAATAAGGCCATTACCTTTCCTTGGTTGAGTTATTATTATATTTTTGTTTTTTTTTGTAGCTTTTGAAGGATGCCATGTTTCTTTATTGTTGTAAACAAGGGCTTATAAAATGAGTAATATATGTTTGCAAGATAAGAGATATCCGTTTTAAGCTGTCCTTGAAAGATCTTTAGGTTGGGATGAAGTAAATCGATATAAATACTAGTTTTCACACCTTTAAAAATAAGTAGTATGTTTTCATCAAAAGACCCCTTACCCTCAAATTTAAAATCCTTTGTTGTCTATAAATTTGTTTGTGCTAAATAATTGTCTATAAATTTGTTTGTGCCAGCTGTAATGCTGGATACATTGGTGAAATTACCAGATACTACGCAACAAGGATCTCAGATAAGGCTTCCCATATTTACAAACATCTCAATTCATCACAAAAATGCAAAAATTCAGCAAATCCTGATTGCTTATCCATTATTGATAGACCCTCCAAAGTATGTATTCCTCCAAGTATGAGCTCAAAATTAAGGAAGGTATCCATATTATGATGGAAAAACCTCTTCTTAATACACAATTAAAATCATACACTATTACTATAACAATATAGTTTCTCAATTATCTTTTTATTTCCTATTTTGTTTTGTTCACATCTTTTGAATAATCTTTTGTAAAATTTCATGGAAATTATTTATTTTATAAAATGTAACTATGGTAAATATATATGTATATGTATATATGTATATATATATATATATATATATATATATATATATATATATATATATATATATATATATATATGTATATATATATATATATATATATATATATATATATATATATATAATTATATTATATAATATTACATTAGCATTATCAGGGACATTTTAGTGTACCTGTTAATTTTTTGTCCCCGCAAGCATGATTTTTTTTTTTGTAAAAAAATGTACCCGCAAGAAACTTTTATAGAGAACAAAAAGTACATACATTGATTGACAAATTGCCTGACTCGCAAGGGAGTGTTGCTACATCGACTGAGGGTTTGGTTTGGCCAGGCATCAAGGTCAGGCTTAAGGTTAGGGTTACGGCAAGGTTTAAACTTGGTTATATTATTGTAATTAATCGTTTTTTTAAATAGATGAAGTTAAAAATAAAATATAATATAAAATGAATATATAAAAATAACAAAAAGTAATATAAAAATTTTTTTAAAAAAATAAATTTAAATATGTATAAATAAAAATAGAAGTAAAATTAAATATATATAAATGATAAAAATAGTATAAAAAAGGTATAAAAAAAAAATAACAGAACGGGAACAAAAATAAAAAACCACATAATTTATATATATATATATATATATATATATATATATATATATATATATATATATATATATATATATATATATATATATATATATATATATATGTATGTATATATATATATATATATATATATATAGAGAGAGAGAGAGAGAAATTATGTGGTTTTTTATTAGCCTTTAAAAATAAAAAAAATTAATTAAGAAAAGCATTTATTTTTTTTACAATGACTGTGTACTGTCACTTGTTTTGTTAAAGTATTTTTTACCATGCTACATTTTTCAAACTACCCACAAATTTTGTTTTTATAATCTATCTTTAAAGTTTTTTTAATAATGATTGCAGTATTTTAAAAAGACAATAAAATTTAAATGTATTGATTTAAGGACTTACTCATCTTCTTTGTGAGTCAATATGTGTAGCTGCTCACCAAAATTTATCTCTTAACCATCCTGTTTTTCAACTGCTTGCTCCACATTTTTTATATATAATGGCTATAAATAGGTTTGTTATTGTTTTATGAGGTCAGTGATGTAATTAAGTATTTATTATTTTACTACTTTAAGTAAAGCTAGTTAAATTATTATTATTTTTGATGGTTTAAATCAAATTTTAAACCATCAAAAAAAATTTTAACACATAAATTTTTTCTACTTTAGTTTAGCATTGAAAAACCTTGTTTCCCCTGGTGGTTGGATTGATAAGACAATGACTATTGGTGTTTCTGGACTAATGGAAATTCTTAAACGATCGTTTGTTGATTTCTTTTTACTTATATTATTAACTCTGATTTATTTTTATAAATATAAAGTTTTTTTTTTGTTAATTGTTTTAATTATTTCGTTTGTTTAATTTAATTCTTAGTTGGCAAACGTTTAAATTTGATCGTGATTGCTGGCTTCCAAATGACATAAGTGCTAGAGGGGTATGTGTATTTTTATTATAATACACGGATATTGTAATATCATAATGCTTGTAAATAAGGCTTATTGTATTATCATAAGGTATAAGTAAAGCTTTGACTTTTTTCACAAGCCATTGAATGGTCAGATTCCTGTTTCATAACCTTCAATACTTAAAGGTGCAAAGTCATACATACTGGCTGAGGAAAAAAAAGGTATCAAAACAAGACTATTTCATATCAAGACCAGATGGCCTGCCACTTGCGATCAACATTACTCATGTAGAGAGAGGATCCTGGAGTTTTTATCTTAGATGATCTTAAACTTAATTCTCAAGTTTCAACAGCTCCAGTGAATGCTAACCACTCCTGCGATGTTCATCCTCTAGTAGGCTATCCAAGTGTGGTCACTGTACCAACAGGCAGACATAGAAGTGCTAGGACAAGTTCAAAATTGTGCTACAAAAATCATTTTTGAGATTAAGAATTGCACCGCCAAGCAATGAAGAGTCATGTTAGGTCTTATGACACTTAATTTAAATCTGGTGTTCAAGTTCACGTGTGAAATTGATAAAATAAACTTTCTTATGCCATTCAACTGTCCTTTGTCGTCAAAGTATAATCAATGACTTACACAGCAAAGAGTACTCAATTGCATGCTAAGAGAGAAGCTCTTCACAAACCGTGTTGTGTTGCAGTGGATTACCCTGCCATTAATAGTAATTGACACGACTTTGGTCAACATGTTCAAAAATCGATTTGATGAACATTTAAATCAGTTAAAAGAGAATTTTAAATGATAACTGGAAATAAACTCACATTTTTCTAGTATTCTTATATGTTCTTAACGTATGGTACCTATGTTGCAGATGTGCACAAGTATCTTAAGACTGTTAGTATAGAGGTGCTTGATGCAGCACATCTTCATTAGTAAGTTTCAACTAACATTGTTTTTCATATGGTGCTCCACCATTGATGTTATTTAAAAGAAAATTCTATTATATTTAAACCACTCTATCAGTGCGCACAATCGGCCTAAAGTTCAATAGGCTTTTTTTGACTCTTTTTCAGTCAAATTGCAGGTACCCTTCCCATGGATCAATTTTGAAAAATTAAAGTTTTAAGGCAATTTTTTGCATAAGAATTAAATTCAATGATGTTTTGTTTGAATAATAAGTCAATCAAACAACTACATTTTGCAAAAATGTTGATTTTAGGCGTTTTTTTGTTCTTCATAAGATCTTTTTCATTTTTAATATTTAAAGCAGCTACAGAATACAAAACTTTAACATTTAAAGCAGCTACAGAATACAAAACTTTAACATTTAAAGCAGCTACAGAATACAAAACTTTAACATTTAAAGCAGCTACAGAATACAAAACTTTAACGTTTAAAGCAGCTACAGAATACAAAACTTTAACATTTAAAGCAGCTACAGAATACAAAACTTTAACGTTTAAAGCAGCTACAGAATACAAAACTTTAACGTTTAAAGCAGCTACAGAATACAAAACTTTAACGTTTAAAGCAGCTACAGAATACAAAACTTTAACATTTAAAGCAGCTACAGAATACAAAACTTTAACATTTAAAGCAGCTACAGAATACAAAACTTTAACATTTAAAGCAGCTACAGAATACAAAAAAGTTGTTGTTAAGGTTATTAAGACAACCCTATAAGGTTGTCTTTCTTTAATACTTGCTGTTTAGCAATGTTATTATAACTAAATTTTCAGTAAATATCTATATTTATTTTATATATATATATATATATATATATATATATATATATATATATATATATATATATATATATATATATATATATATATATATATATATATATATATATATATATATATATATATTTAGATAGTAAAAAAATGCCTTTAAAGAAAAAGATAAAATGTACTAAAAACATGTCATAAATATTTCTTGTGAAGAAAACTAGAAGACTCTCCCAAGCAATAAGTTTCCAAAAGGCAAAGATGTTCTGCAGTATTACCTAAATCTTAGAAAGCTAAATCCAATTTTCCAAGCAAATAGATTTAATCAGGTGCCAATGCAAAATGAATTCTTTTGAGCTCCAACGCCCTGCAGAGAACACCCACGTGCTGTGTAATGTTTAATTTGGTTGGACCATGGAATCTAGCTGGATTCCCTTTAATTAAAATGGAAAATATAAGACAAACCTTACAAATTATTTTTTTATGTTCAAAAAAAAGTGATGTGTTTTTAACTTTTAATTCAATTTACCATTTATATTAACACAGTAGAAACATTTATGTTATTTTATTATGCTTTTTTTAAAATTAATTGTTAAAGGTGTGTATTTTCTTTAAATAGGAATTCACTTTTTAATTTTCAAATTTTTTATTTGCAATGTATATGGCGAAAGTTCAGAGCACAGTGGATTATTAGAACATGTTAAAGAAGAGTCTTCACAGGAATGGTCTATCAAATACTAAATCGAGAAAAAGTTTCTTCAAGATCTTCTGAAATGCTTTTGGTATAGTAGAAATCCTGAAAAACTGATTGATAAGATCAGAAAAGATAAGAAGAGGACTTATAGAGTTTATTGGATTCCCAAACTCAAGGCCCATGAGAAAAAAGAAGATATGGATTTCTTCACTGCAGTGTTTTACACTGCAGGGAGGAAATTCCAGCAATCACTCCCTCTCAGGTTATTTTACTGTAATTTTTTATTCCCTTGTTATTCAAAACGTAATAAAGTTTAAATAAAAATTATTCTTTTTTGTATTTTGCTATCTAAAGATTATTTCTTAGGATATGAAAGTTATTTGGCAGATGATAAAGTACTCTGACGTCAAACCTGAGCAGGCAAAACCTGTTATTGATTCACTGAAGAGACAAATCTATTACATTGATCCTACCACTGTTGTAATGGCTTTAGCTAATAAAGAGGTCCATGACCGTGACCAGCCAAGAGGCTGTATTCCATGTCAAGGCCTGAGAGTTATGTTGTACAGGTAGCAGGTTAATTTAGAGTTGCTAAACAATCTGGATTTTTGTCAGGATTATCTGGTTTATAAGCCTAGCCTGGTTTCACTAATACATGAACAGAGTTAAAGACCCAAGTGAGTGAGCTGTGAAACTCATTCAACTACAATTTAAAAAAATTATCAAATTTAAACCTATTGTAGAAGTTATAAACGTAATTTCAACAGACATAACTTGTTTTTAATCAGAAGCTAAATCAAAAAATCCTACAAGGAGAAAATTGACAGCACATTTTACTAGTGGCTAACAAGTTTAAAAGTGGAAGAAAGAGAAAGAAGAAATCTGATCTCAAAAATGTTTCTCTTTGAGTATTTGTGCTGAAACTTTTTTTTTTATGTTCTAGCAATTTTGAAAAATAATGAATGCTGCTAAACGTCAAATATTGAGATAGACAACTTAGTATGGTTACATTAAAGAGGGACAGTCCTCATTTTTTTAGACAATTCTATAGCTGCTTTAAACATTACATTCTGACTGTAAACGCCAAAGGCGCTGAAAAAGACCTTATCAAAGAGCAAAAAAAGGCAAAAAATCAACATTTTCAGAAAATCTAGTTGTTTAATCGACCCATTATTCAAACAAATAAAGCTTAAATTGGATTTTAATTTAATTCTTATGCATAAAGTTGCCAACAAAAAAATTTAATTCTTCAAAATTGATGCATGAGGAGGGTCCCCGCAATTTGACTGAAAAAAGGGTCAACAACATCCTAAAAATAATCTTTGGGCCCATTGCGTGGACTGATAGAGTGGTCCAAATGTAATTGAATTTTTTTTTTGTAATATCAATGGTGTGGCACCATGCAAAAACTAATTTTAGTTGAAATTTTAAATTTTTTTGAAACACCCTTATATATATATTAGGCCACTGTCATGTACCAGATAGCTCTTGGCTCAGCATGGGTTTTATGTATTTTATATATATATATATATATAATATATATATATATATATATATATATATATATATATATATACATATATATATATATATGTATATCTATTGTTAACCCTAATGTTTTCTGTTTACCCAGTAGATTTTGCACAAGTCTTAGCAGTACAAGTATTGCACAATTTGGCACACTTGGCAGTACAGTATTGCACAATTTGGCACACTTGGCAGTACAGTATTGCACAAGTCTTGGCAGACTTTGAAGATTTTTAGATTCTTTTTTTTTAATCCCTTATTTTGGATAGAATCTTGACTATCTGCACCTTATATGTTAAATACTCTGTTAAACGATTGTTTTGAAGCAATAACATGTTCAATATTTTTTTGAGTTTTGCTTTAGAGATTGTGATATTTTTAAACAAACTGTTATTTTTTATTCAGCTGTTATTTTTTCAATTATTTTTTATGTTTGCCATGCTACAATCTTTCTTTTCAGGAAAAGAAAGTTATATTAGTATTTCTGGTAGTGCGCTTATTAACTCAAGTTAACATAACAAAGAAGGTGTCATCTTTATTAAACACTGTTCCTAAATGTCATGTTTGTAAAATGTTGTTACCAGGGCTGTGGAGTTGGAGTCACTGAAAAAAATTGCGACTATGACTCCAATAGTAAAACTTCTTGGTATTGCATGTGCGTGTACAAAACATTCAATTAACCTTATGTTCATACTAAACCTCAAAGAACGTTTCATAAATTTGTCAAAAAAAAAAATTTTTTACTTATCGCATAATATTTTTTGAAGAATTCAAAGAATTTTTCAAAAATTTTAATTTGGAGTCGGAGTTGAAGTCGGAGTTGTACTTAAAAAATTTCAACAACTGTAGTTGGAGTCATTACTTTTTTTTTTTTTTACGACCCAACCTCTGGTTATTACATTGAAAGTTATTTTAAAAATATAACAGATCAAAAATGAGGTTATAAGTTTTTTTAATATGAATTTATTTATAATTTATTTCCACTGTCAAGAAATGGTTAAAGAAAAAAAGTTAATTTGTTAGATTTGAGTGCAGTTAATTATTAGTTGCTTTTTTTCTGAAAAAATTCATTTTTAGGAACAACTAGTAATACTATTACCAGCTAGCTCCCAGATACCAGATGTAGACAGAATGGATCAAAGACCATTCCAGAAATCTACTACACACTTTATTACTACGTTTTGCAAAAAGTTTTCTGATTTAACAATTTTAACAAGAATTAACATAATAACTTGACATAACAACTTGAAGTTATATTATATTAATGATTTATTTAAAGTTATATTATATATTTTTGAATATTTATTTAGGTGGGTGATACAGAGATTTTAAAAAACTATTTTTATCGAGATGATGCTCTTCTTATTCATGAAGCTATTGTTAATTATGTCACCGAAATACTTTCTAGGGTGTATGGTATGTTATAATAGGGTTTATAACTGCGTCTGATTTTTATTATAGATGAAGTTCTGATAATTTTATATTTTTAAATATAAAATTATCAGAAATAAATATTTATAAATTTTTTTTATTTTTGTTAATACTTTAATTCAAGAAATTGAAAATGAAAATATTTTGAATAATTTTAAAAATATTTCAAGATACTCCTGATAAGTTAAAAACTGATTACGAGGTTCAAAATTGGGCAATTTGTTTAAGCGATGAAACTAATGGTGCTGGTATCAAGGTTGGAATTTTTTAAATCATTTTTCTTCTTTTAACATGTTTTTATTAGTCTTTAGATATTGTATCTTTTATAACTATCTATTATTACCATAAATATTATATTAAAATTTTTGGTTTGCTAATTATTTTTATTCATAGTTATGACTTAATAGCAATAAACAGTAAAACTATTTGATTTAGTTTCAACTTAAAAGTAAACAGTATAATACATTACGGCATAGTATTTACAATATAATATAGTATTGTCCAAATGTATAAGTATTAATTACATTCAAATTATGATGTCATATTTTATGATGTCTTTTAAAATTATAGAAAGAGAGATTTTGTTTTGTTTTTAAATAGGTTCCTTGTAGAATAGAAGTTTTTTAATTATAGACTTTCACTTTTTAAAATTAGTTAAGTAAATGTGAGTCATGAAGCTATTGTTAATTATGTCACTGAAATACTTTCTAGGGTGTATGGTATGTTATAATAGGGTATATTTCTGTTGTTTTTTGTTTGTGTTGTTTTTTGTCTGCCTTTTCCTACGCATATATATAATAAAGGTTGTTATTTTTGTTGTTATTTTTGTTGTTATTTTTGTTGTTATTTTTGTTGTTATTTTTGTTGTTATTTTTGTTGTTATTTTTGTTGCTATTACATTTTAAGATACTCCTGAAAAATTAAAAAATGATTATGAAATTGAAAATTGGGCATTTTGTTTAAGCAATGAAACTGATGGTGCTGGTATTAAGGTTAAAATTTAAAAAATATTTTTTTCTTTTTAAAACATGTATTTATCTTTAATTATTGTATTATAACTTTTGTCTAATAATTATGTTAATATTATATTAAAAAATTTAGTTTGCAAATTGTTATTATTTACAGTTATGATTTTGTAGCAATAAACAGTATTATTCTTTGATCTAGTTTTGACTTCATAATAGTGAATAGTATAATACAATATAGTATAGTATTTACAATATAATATAGTATTGTTTAAAAGTATAAGCATTTGTTGCAACCAAATTATGATTATGTCATATTTTATGATATCTCTTTTAAAAATAGAGAAGAAAAGTTTTGTTTTTTAGTAGGGTTTTTTTGGAGAAGTTTTTACTTCACTGTTTCCAGACAATTTTTAAAAGTGAAAGAAGTTTATTAAAGTGTCAGTTTTTACTTTTTATCTCTCAGCTTCTCATTTCTTATTTTTTTACGGCTAAAATGAATTGTTAAAAAATAAAGTACAATAATAGAATAAAGTTGATAAATATGATAATGATCTTAGTTGCATTTAAACTTTAATTTTTAACTTTATCTTTTAGGGAGTTTTCGGTAATGGAAATTTTGACGATTTAAATGATCTCATCAAGTTTGTTGCTAGTGTTATCTTCATCTGTAGTGTTGGCCATGCCGCTGCTAATTTTTGTCAATATGATGAATATGCTTTCCCACCAAGTTATCCAGCAATGTTAACTGGAAAAATACCTTCTTCTAAGGTATTGTTTTTGTAGCTTTTTATGATTACTAAAATATTTTGAATTAAGTTAACAAAAGAATAAGTCTTGGCTTAGTTAATTAGTTAAGGATAGGTCTTGGTAAATTTGGTAGGGTAGTCTCTGGAAGTCTGGAAGTGGTTGCTATACCATTTTTATTCAGTTAATGTTTAAAAAATTGGCAGTTTATTATATTGCAGAGTAAATCACACTTATGTAAGGTTCTTATATATATAACTAATATCTGCTATCAAATTAGATTCATTTAAATTTTGCTTTTAAAGGAGAAATATTATTAGTCATCAAATTGGGATCTAGAGAGGTCTTTAAAGAGGATTACACAATTTCCACAGTATTTGTGGAAATTGTGATTTAAAAAGTTTATCAATGCAAATAAAAATAGTTGATAATAAATAACACAGCTACTAGTTTTATAGAAAAAAATATTTAACAAGGAGTAGCATCTTTTATTATCGTTTTACTCAAATTGGGTCTTAGTTTTGTTATGTGAATTAGCTTTAACTTTGTTTATACTTTTTGTATTTTTTATACTTCCATTATGGTATCTTGTGTGGCTCTTAATTTTTTTAAATTTGTTAGTAAAAAGCAATGAATCAACAGTTTAGTTTCTTTTGCAGTGTAACAATAATATGACAATCTTTCCTCAAGTAGAAGGGTTTTGCTATCAGGAGTTTAGAAGCATTCTTTGTAAAAATTATTTACATATTTATTTTTCATATAGCTAACACATTAAATTACAATTTGACTTCACTCAAACTTCCGAATCAAAGTTATTTCTTAAACTAAAATTTTGTAAACATCAAAAATTTATTTCAAGCAAAACAGCAAAAGTTTCAATCAAAGTTTCAAATCATGGACTAAAGTTAATACTACTCTTTTGTTTTTATATAAGTCAAACTAATAATTGCTTTATATACCACTGGCAATCTCTATTAATGCCAATCTCTACAGGACTTACCCTATAGTTGCCTTTTTTAAAGAGGTTTGTTAAAAAAATATATAATTGTTAATATATGAAATATAAATTTGAGACAAAAGTAAATTTATCTGAACTGCCTTAGCTTTTTCAAGTCAAATTTTAGTGTTATTCGATATATTCGATTTTTGTCCTATTTCAATTACTTAACGTTGTTTTATTAAATGTTTTATTATTTTTTCCTATTTTTTTTTTATTTTGAAGGCTCCTTTAACAATGCAAGACATTATTAATCAGCTTCCAAACAAAGAAACCACTTTGGATACAATGGCAGTTACAAAACTGCTTAGTGAAAGAGGTACCAATGAATTAGGTACTTTTGAGATTCAATATCTGTTTAGACCTGAAGATGTTGCTGCTGTTGAAAGGTTTTTTTTATATATTTATATAGTTTTTATTCACTTTTTTATTAAATTTATTAAAATTGTTTTGTTATTATAATGATAATTATCTTTTAATATTTTCTCTTTTAATTTCTTGTAATCAACTTTTTGCATTAGGTAATATATATTTTGCGTTAAGTAATATATATATATATATATATATATTATATATATATATATATATATATATATATATATATATATATATATTTATATATATATATATATATACTCTTGCATAGTAGTTAAAAAGAGTTTCCCATAAACTGTAGTTTTAAAGAGCGCGTTAATATACCAGACCAGAAAAAGTTTAAAAATTAAATTTTTTTTTTTTTTTTTAAATGATAGACTGCCTGCCCAAACCAAACCCTCAGTCAATGTAGCAGCACTCCCTTGCGAGTCAGGCTATTTGTCAGTCGATGTAGCAGTACTCCGTTGCGAGTCAGGCTATTTGTCAGTCGATGTAGCAGCACTCCGTTGCGGGTCAGGCTATAAGATAGTCGATGTAGCAACATTCACGCATGCTTTAAAAATGTTTTTTAATAAAATAAAAACAAAAACACCACTAATTAAAAAAAACTTTCTAGTCGTTATTATTGCGGTTTTTTAAAAATTTTTTAAAAAACAATAAAATTTAATGTACTTCCGCATTAATTTAATTGCTTTGACATTTCGACGACAATCAAATACAGCTTAAGAGACGAGGTAATTAAAATTGTAGTCAAAAGAGACTTTTTTTACATTAAACGACTCTTTCGACTACACTATAAGGATATATATATATATATATATATATATATATATATATATATATATATATATATATATATATATATATATATATATATATATATATATATATATATAATATTAACTATATAAATAAATTATTCAATAGTGTACACAAATTTTTAAAAAAAGCAATGAAAACTGAAGAAAAAAAAGGTAGCCATAAAATTTATAATAATGACAAATTTTTTCAAGTAATTTTAAATTATTAATCTATTAAAAAAACCTTTTCTTTTATATTAAGTCATTATTCATAATTATTATGTTTGCTTGTGAGTATCAAATCTTGCCATCAATTTTTGAGTCACTTCCTAATGATAGATTTTCTTCAAATTTTGCATACATACTCTTTCTTGATGGTTATACAATATTCCATAATTAGTTTTGTAAATTAATTTAGTTAATTTTAGTTAAGTTTATTTTTTATATGGGTAGAAGAAGAATAATTTTTAAAATAAGTATATTATTTATTACTACTTACATGCGAATTTAGTTTATTTAAGGTTAAGATAAGGCGTTGACTTCATAAACAGACTGTCAGTGGTTCGAGATCTGCCTCTTCCTGAATTTTTTTTGTTTTTTACACACACGCATACAGCCGAATGTTAATAAAATAAATAGTAATATCAGAAAAAATTTATTGCAAAATTTGTGTGTTAACATATAAAAGCATTGGGTTTTAAAAATTGTTTTTAATTTTACTTGTTTTTGTATTTATAAAAACTGCCTTACAAAAACTGTTTTATAGCAATTATTTTGATACCAATAGTTTGCAACACTGTAAAGGGGTTTTCAAGACATGTCATTAATCTTTAATTTGCTTAGTTCAATTTCAGACTTATATTTATATTTTTATTTGTGTGATTACAAATTATATGTTTTGAATAATTTTAAAAACTCAAACTTTTATTGTTAATTAGTAAAATTATAAAATTTATTAACTAATAACATTTTAATGTAATAATAACATTTTCACAATTTGTTGTTTATTTTATCATCTACACATTTTGTCTTTTTTTATAGTAGAAAAACTTTATTTTAATAGTAGAGTTTAATTTATAGTCATGTTTGGATCAAAATTACCTCAACCTTTTTACTGGTAACGTACAATCCAGTGCAACCTGCCAATTGTCATTTGTACTTTGCAGGACATGCCTTTTTAGGAAAGGCTAGAAGTTATAACTCTGACTTAAAATACCTACTTGCTTTTTAACTCTTAGTTAACTGTTAAGTAAAGGTTAGAAACACTGCCTTTAACCTTTACTTAAACATACTCATCTTGCTTCCTTGTTAACTGCATCCAACTATGGTCTTGTAGAAAACAGTATTCGGATATAGTTTTTATTTTTCATCATTGTTTCTCTTCATCGCACTGTACTCTTTTTGATGTTTGCTGATCACCCTGAATGACTTGGCTCTAATAACACTAATCCTACTGGCTCTAAAGCTCAAAATTTTTGTCTTATTTTTTTATTCAGATAGCTAACTTTGTGACTTATTTTCCATATAACTAAGCTCACTTACTCTTATTTTCCAGATAACTAAGCTCACTTACTCTTATTTTCCAGATAACTAAGCTCACTTACTCTTATTTTCCAGATAACTAAGCTCACTTACTCTTATTTTCCAGATAACTAAGCTCACTTACTCTTATTTTCCAGATAACTAAGCTCACTTACTCTTATTTTCCAGATAACTAAGCTCACTTACTCTTATTTTCCAGATAACTCACTTACTCTTACTCCTTAGTGGTTCAAACTTTAGTTTGTGCACAGTTTCTCCTTATCCTTTATGTGGTTCAAATCATTGCTGTAGTTTTCCAAAAAAATTTAATGTACATCTTTTACATCAGATTTACTTTTGTATTTCTTACAATTAATTTAAGTTCTTTAAACTAATTTAAGTTAAGTTCTTTAAACTAATTTAAGGCTTATTGGGATTTTTTATGGTTTTATTTGTGGTGATCCTTGGGCTGATGACTTTTGCCTCTCCGCTAAAAATTTTGCTTTGTTTATATAATCTCCTAGATTCAGGCAAGTCTGGAAGCTTTTATATCTTCTGATTGATTTAAATTCAAGTTTCACTCTACCCCACAATTTTTTTCTTTTTGTGTAGCTGCTATATCTAACCATAATCATTTCTTTTATATACAAGAGAGCAACTCTCTTTAAAACAAATGTCTTTATATCACTGCAAGAAATCAATGTAAAAAGATGATGATGCTAAGGTCCAATATTCTCACAATACTAAATCTCTTATTTCATCTTAAAAGTTAGAATTTAGAGACTTTCAGAAAATCTTAAATAATGTCATTAATAAAGCCAAGTTTTATATTCAACCTCTCAAACATGGATCTGATATTATTATCTCTTCTTAAGATAAGACAGAGCTATTTGCAATAGCTTCCTTTTTATCATCTATTAAATCTAATAGCCACACTCTTTCTGTTATCCCAAAGAAATAGGTTAATTTATTGTTAGACGTCTAAAACATCTCCTGTCACGACATTGTGAGTTATGAAGAGAATTTAGAGAGAAGAGAGTTGCTTTTGTAAGACTGCAACAGTAGTGTTTTAGATTTTTTGAATGCCAAAGTTCATCTTGAAATATAAATATTAGCGCAATAATAGCAGCAATATTTCTCTTGACATAAATCTATTGCATATTAAATCAATATTAAATTGATTGCATAAAAATGTTGCTCCTCTACTGACACTTTTTCTTAAAAAAACCTATTCAGTGTCTTAATTAGGTTTTTATGCAATGCTTCATATGTTTGTTTTGATATAACAGCCAGTCCTTCAAAGTAACTTTTTTTGCAAAATCATTATAAGCATATAATTTAAAGTGAAGCATGGATTCCTTAAACTAATATATTTTCTCATAGTAGTATATATCAATTTTCATTCCAAAATAGCATTTAGCAACTAAATCAAACCAATGCTTACAAATATTAACTTGCTGAAAATAATAGTACTAACATATTAGTGTCTCTTAACCTTATATGAAGTGGTGGTTTGTTAGTTGAGTTACTGTCTTTAAATGTCCTCAGAATTTCAATACATTCCTGATATTTAATTGATTTAAACATATTTTTCCCAAAAAACTTCTTTTATCCAACTTTTATCAGCAAAGAGAAGATCAACAGTTTTATTTAAATGGTATTCATAGTTACATGGTTATCATAGTTACGGTATTCAGGTATTCATAGTTATGGTATTCTGGTGGTGGAATTATGTTGATCATGTCTATGATTATTATTATCATTTAAAGTTTAAAATTATAATTTAAGAAAACAATTAGTTAAAGTCTAATGGAAAAAAGGATGCAACACAGTTTGCAACACCCATGATTTGGTGAGAACCTTTAAATAGCTATGACAACTTCTACAGGTACAACCCAGCTCATCTAAATCCTTTGTGAACCTGAGAAAAATATGTCAAGTGAAGTCTCTGACCTAGAATAAAAATGTAACCTTTTAGAACCTCAACCAATTAATCAGATTGAACTAAATGATTTAGTAAAAGATCTGAACTTACCAATAAAAGCTTTTGAAATTTTGGTGTTTTAAAGAAAAAATAAATGTTTACTCTGGAAACCAACATCACCTTTATTGTATCTGAGAGAACAATCTGTGTTGTGTATACAAGTTTGATGGTATTTTGTGACAAATGGATTTAAAAAACTAGCAATCTAGTGTTTAACTTTATTTTATAAGCAGTAAAAGAAGATTAATGCTTGATTTAGTTCATAACGCTATCAACTATGGATCCATGGCTATTGCCCTGACAACTTTGAAAGATTGTTTCTAAGATTATAAAAAATATTAAGTACCAAGACCTCAAAAGATTACATTTTAGTTTTAATTTTAAAATGCTGAACTTTTTTCTAGGTTAAAAAAGGTGGTGCGCAAAATCCCTTTATTTTATTTGTTTCTGGGACAGTTGTGACTAGCAACACTATTGGTCACAAAAGTGGTTTGTTCAGTGCGGAAAGATCTGAAAGTTGGTAGAAAAATGTAACATGTTTTTTTTATAGCCGAAATAATGATATTATACTTCCACTACTTCTTATTAAACTTAACATAATGAAATAGTTTCAGCATAAAAATCCACTTATGATTCAAAATCCACATCAGCCGGTAAATCTTGAAATATGTTAATTTTAGTTTTCATTTTACTCTCTGTGGTGTACAAATTCTACATATTTTTAGTTTCAGTTCTAAACAAATAAAGTAATTCTTCAGCAAAATCTTTGACATTTTTTATCAATTTTAAAGTGATAGGGAAAAGATCCTAGAAAAAAAAGAAAAGTCTGTGTTATTGTGATATGGATTTGCTTCCCATATGATCTTTGTGGGGAACATTAAAGTTCTCAACAAAGATCATGGTATTGGGAGTAATATCTATAAATGTAACAAGCTGTCTACATATTGTGGAAAGAATGATGAACCAGCGAAAGTATATAAAGGTGTTGGTGAAATCTTTGATTCCTCAAATGGTTTCCTGATAGGGAATATATATTTCAACAAGAAAGTGCGTTATCTATAACAAAGTTCCGAGAAAATGGATTCTCTGTACTCAAATGTCCTAGAAATTCACCAGGTATAAACTTGATTGAAAGCTTATGGGACTTTTTGGAAGACGAAATACCTAAAGTTTGTATTGCTACAAAAATGCAGCTCATAAAGAGGTTAATCCATGTCTGGTTCAATACGAGAGAATCGCCAAGTTATGCAGTGATTTAATCATGGGCATGCTTATAGTACATGATTATATTGCCTCGCCAATTATGGTACCCCACTATCTCCTGCACTTGTTTTTGATGAAAAAAATTGTCTTAGATTAATAAAAACTATTGTTAAAATTAAATTTAGTGGATCTACTAGAATCATATGAATCTCGGTAATGTTAAATAAAACCTCGGTAATATAAAATATCAAAATGAAAATGAACTTTTAACCTTTTTTACTTGATGTGTTAAACATTGTATGTTACTTTTTAGGTTCAAAAGTGCTTTAGCTGAGATCAGTAACAAGATTAAAAAAAGAAACGAAGAACTTAGCACACCATACCCATATTTGGATCCTAAGGAAGTTCCGAACGCTATTAGTATTTGAAAATTTTGTTCAACGTGCTCATGCAACAACATTTTGATCAACAAAAATTTATTTTGGATTTTTGATATGAAAACATAATTAAAGTTCTAACTGTAAAAGTTAAATTTTATAAGATTTGTATAAATCTAATATTATTTTAATATTGTGTTTGTATAAAACTAATATTTTTTTTAATATTATTTTTGTATAAATTTAATATTACGATAAGTTTATTATTTTTAACTGCATATTTTCTTTATACCGCTTTTTTATGTTGCAGGTATTTATTGTAGGTATTATTTATTTTCATGATTAAAATTTCTAAAAAATGTGTTCGTTTTTCTTAACTTCTTCAAAGATCATTGAAAAATACACTGCCAAAGGTCTCTAACATAAAAGCTTCCTTGAACTCGCTAATTTTATAAAAATCCTTTCGCGGTTTAATTTAGGCTGAAAAATGATTACTAAAAACATTTACAAATGTAATTTGTAAATGTTTTTTTCAGTCTGGTATTGCTTGGTGAACTCTAAATCTATCCTTCCCTTGACTGCTTCACTTCGAGATAAGAATGCAGCAATGACATGAAAGTAATCTGTGGTCTGCTCATGCTCACTAAGGGAAGTTTTAGCGTGTTGCCAGTTCTGAAATCCTCTTTTTTCATATAAACTGCTCTTCAAAAAAATTTAAATTTGCTATTAAAAATAATTTTTACGTGTTCCTATGACGCGTACAACGCGTGCTTACGAGTGTAAGTGTCAAATACGCAGGAAAAATTTGATTTAAATAAAAAAATCGGATTCCTTGATCCAAAATACCACATATTTTTTAATATAAGTTTTACTTGTGTCTAAGACTCGTACTACACATGTTTATACGTGTTAGAGTTTTTTAGGCGCACAAAGAATGACTTAATTTAAAAAGATTATATTCTTCAAACCAAAACCTTTACTGATTAAAAAAAAAATTTGAATTCAAAAAATCAAAATACAACTAAATATTATTATTATAATATTTATCATTAATATTTAAATATATTAAATACATAATAAATATTTATCTTATCTAATTTTTCTTTCAAGAAAATAAAACCTTGTATTAATAAAAAAGCTTTATTTCATTATTACGGCATTAACAAAGATAAAACTTTAGGGGTAAGGGTTTTTCCTTTTTTAAACTTTTATTTTTTGAAAAAGTGTTTGATATTACAGGATCACTTTTAATCAAGAGGTATTGGTACTGGTTTTTCATAACATTCTTTCTAGATACCTGCATGTTTCAATCTAGCTTTACGAACTTCCTTATTCAGAACCTCTAGTGATTCTTCAGAGTAAAAACCTATTTACAGTTCTAATGCCTCAGATATCTGCACACTATGTTCCAAGAGTTTATGAACATTTGGGGGAGTCACATACCAGTAATAGTTTTTGAGTATAAGAGCTGTAGTTTCATAGCAATACCGGCCTAAACTTTCAGAGTTTAACTCATAACAAGAGCATACTGATCCTAGGATTGTCCTCAATCTAATAACTACATCTACTGCCACTCCTGTTATATCAACAAAAGTTTCAGCATTTTCAAATGCCCTTCTGTCAGAGTTCCCATCGTTAGTATTGCCAAAACCTGTTTGGACATATCAACTTTAAGACTTAGCTTTTCCCTAAACCTCAGTTGAAGTACTTTTTTCTATTTTTTACTAATGTTTTTTCAGCAGAGAGTTTAGCAAAGTACTTTTATAATGTCTAACTTATAACCTAAATGTAAAATATATTTAAAAGACCTGAGCAATCAATGCAGAGTAAAAAGGCTTAAAGATAAGAGAGATAAGAAAGATAAATCTTTTTCATTAATTGGTTTAAATCTGATCAATAAGTTCACTGGGCTTAGCTCAGCAAACATTATATGATTGAGAGGACAGAATGTTAGTGAGGGCATTAACCACTTTACCATCAAAACGTGGTTAAATCTAGTTTGATCTTAAATATGAAACCGTATCCGATTTACCTTCGTCTACTTTTAACTTTACCTCAAACTTGACTATTTATTTTTCCTTTTAAAATTTCATATTCGTTTCTTATCAATTTCCCGTTTTAAAACGTGCAATATGCCGTCAATTCTTGCATATTTCGATTTTCGAGGTTTGATAATTAGCACCATCTGCTTGAGTATTTTTAATAATAGAAACTGAAGGTATTACTTTTGTGATGAATTTAAGCAATGAACTATTGTTCGCTACTTTATACACGGAATTAAATTTGACACGGAATTAAATGTGACATTGATATCACATTTTTAGCTGAAGACTAAGAGAATATTGCTAAAGTTACAAACGGTAATGCACGTGTTTTGCAGTTTAAAAAAACAAGTTTTTATAAAGTAGATATTGATTTTACAATTGCTACAAAATATCCTAAAACAATTGAAGAAATAGTTTGTATAAGTGTTTATAAATTTGATTAAAAACGGAAAAAAACATAAAAAATACAAAGTAATTAAAAGGTTTTATTTCAAATGAGGCAAGTTGGGGTAAATGATTTTTTTTTTTTTTTTTTTTTTCTGCTTTTATATATACTCATCAAAGGAAAAATGTTAAAACTAGCATAGAATTTAGTAGAATCTTTTAGTTTTTGAACTAAACTCATAATTAAATTAATTTTAAAAAATCAATTTATGAAACATTTTTTATATCTCAGTAATAAAAATCTAAAATTAAAATTTATTGTCAAAAATTTTATTAATAGTTACCAAACATCTTAAATACATGACTTCAAATTAAACTTTGATCTGTTTTTACCCATATCTATCTTAAAAGAGTGACACTAAAGCGAGACTTTTGTGAACAAGTTTTCCGAGAAATAAAATCAAAAAAAATAAGTCTTGGAAAAAGGCGTATAAATTGGTGATATCTTAAAAAATAATCGTAAAAAAATTAATTATTGTCTTTTAGTGGTATTTAGTTAGATTATAATTTAATTAATTATTTTCTGGCAATTTTTTATGGGGGATTTTTTATGGATTTTGACTCACTGTGCGACGAGCTCCTCCATATTTTTTCTTTCCTATACATTTTTCTAGACTTTCTCGCTCACTCATTTTATTTCATCAGCTACTTTTTAGTTTTCTAATAAGTATTCTTAATTATTTATAGTAATATTTTATAAATTATAATATTATAAAAAACAAACAGTTTAAGTTTTGCAATTAAAAAAAGTTATATAAAAAACAAACAGTTTAACCCTTTATCCGGCACATTATGATCAAATTTCAGAAAAGAGGTATTGAAGATAACCATTTTTGGAAAAAAACAGACGTTTGAGGTATTTAATATTTATTAACGAGATGATAAAAAATATAATAGACTGCTGCAGTTTAAAAATAATTTACTATGGCTATATTACTTTATGTGTTTTGGAAGTCTTTGAAGCAGTTTCTAACCTTGTTCATACGAAGCTTTATTTTACATTTTGTGCAAGCAAAAGAACAGGTCATGTTGCATATTCTGCATCTTCCCCTTTTGTCATTGATTTCTGGCCAGTGATAGAATTCATTGTATCTTATATCGCATATTGGTTTTCGGTTAGATGGTTTTCTTCCAAGTGTGTTGGCAGGTGAAAGACTTTTTGGAAGACCAATTTTTTTTTCAGGATCTATGTTTTAATGCTGTTGCTACCTGTGAAATAAATCTTCTCAAGGAAGTTGTTTCTTTTTAGACACTTTAAATTGAGAACAATGCCTTTGGTATAACAAACACGCATTAATTTTTGATATGTCAATGCAGCGAAAATTTAATTTGAAGTACCGATGCTTCTTAGTATTGATTTTTGTTCGGTATAATGATATTAGCATGTTTACAATATCTACACCACCCATTGATGCATTGTATTCAAGTACAAAGTCAGGAGGTGTGACATCAACATATACCTTCTTCTTACTGTCAAACCTTTGGACTTTTGTGGATCCGGCGACACCTGCATGAATTGATCCAAGTGAAACAGCTTTGTAATCAAACTATTTTACTAAATGTATTCCTGAATTCTGATCTACCCGGTAGTCCCATGATCCTCTTTCTTGAGATTTTAGTTCTTTTTTAGATAAAAGTGGACATTTTCCAATTCGATTATTACGGAAGTTTCCTGTTGAAAATATTCCTATTGTTTTCAGATCGTTAAGCAATTGTAGAGTAGAAAATCAGTTGTCAAAGAAAATACAGAATTTTTTATGCTTGGATATTTTTTGTACTAGTTGTAGTATTATATCTTCAGCACCACAACTTAGGCTTCCCGTACTAGTAATTCTGAGTGATGCTATCATTTAAAAATACTTTAAAGTACTCAAAATTGTGTCATGTCATCAAATTCTGGTAAAGAAAATAATTATTCCTTGAACGTTACACCAAATGTTGGTGGTTCTTTTTTTCTACATCTATGGACAGGTTTTTATATTAATATTTACATGTATGTGCATTTTATTTATATATACATGTATGTATAGATATATAATGTTTATGTATATTCATTATTTAGTTTGAAATACCATAATTCTTCAGTTGATAAATTCTTTTTGAATGGTGAAGAGGCATTTTCTTCTTCTTTAACCCTAAAGATACAGAAATGGAATAAAATATAATAATAAACCTCAAAGTAACTTGATTATAGTCAAAATTGACTCACTCAGGTTCTTCAGAACTGAAAACAACATGATCAATATTGTGTTCTACCACATTCCCTGATTAATCTGATTCTACAAGGTCTGATTACTAAGAATCAGAATTTGGTTCATGCACATAGTTAACAGCTTCTTGTACAGAATTTGGGTCATGCATATAGTTAACAGCTTCTTGTACAGTAAAATGTCGAACCATGTTTTTTTTAGGAGCTACCAGAATCTTGTACCATGTTTCATATTTGAAACAAATAAATTAGAAGATTATTATAATAATCTCTCATGTTTGTCTAAGTTTTTAATGGCTCTATTCGGTAACTTCAATCTTCAGTAACATATCAATTTCATGCATTTAAGCATCAGTTTGGGTTTTCTTGTGACAAAAATAAGCATTATAGGTAGTAACTGAAACTTATAAAAAAAAGCAATTCTGTTATGAATTGCCATAATACAAAAAAAAACTCGTGTTTTGGTTGCATCAAAATAGTTAATAAAGGTCTAAAATAAATGTTTCAATATCATATGATTTTGTTCATACGCATGACGAAAAGATTCTTAACAAAAAAAAATTACTGTGATAGGAAAAGGGAAACAAGAAACCTTAAAATCACAAACTTTACATCGTCATAAAAACTGAACACTGAATAATTTAAACATAAAATTTGAAATCTGT